CGGGTTTCTACCAGCTGTGGTCGGTCGTGCGCGACATCCGTCGCCTCGCGGCCCGTGACCCTGGTGTGCTTGTGCTGTGGACTGATTTTATGGCAGGCTTCGACGGCCGCCTCTCACACGGCCCTTTCTCAAAACTGCTGCAGGTCTTTCACCAGCTTGGGTGGCGCGTTGAGCAGCCGCCTTTCTTTCAAGATGGCGATGGCTTTACCCACAATTTGCTGGCAATGCCCGGTTCGCTGATCCGCTCTCTTTGTGAGCAAGCCTGGCTCAACTTCGTGGCCTCCCAGCATCAGCATCGGCAAACCATGTCCGATTTGGGCGGCATAGACTTGTCACTTTTGCGGGCGGATGGCAGCAGGTTGTCGGCTCTTGACCAGGCGCGGGTGGCCGCTCTTCGTAGCGGGGCCTTCTTGTTTGGTGCTTGCCACTCTCGCTTCGACTTGACAAAGGACGGCCTCTGCCCAGACTGCCATGTCCCTGATACCCATGAACACAGGGTCTGCTTCTGTCCTCGCTATGCTGAGGTGCGTCGGCCGTTTCAATGGGTTTGTGATCTTTGGTCATCTTTGCCAACATCGGTCAGCCATCACCTTCTGCCCCCTGTCAACCCACACCTGCGGGAACTTCGTGGACAGTTGATGGCTTTACCTGATTGCTCTGCAGAGTTTTTCTCTTTGGATCACACGGCTGGCATGCAACACCTGTTCTGTGATGGCTCTTGTCTTCTCTCACGTGAGCCGGCTCTGGCCCTGGCCGCCTGGAGCAGTGTTAATGCAAGCACTGGCGCCATTGTGGCATGCGGTGTTGTCCCAGGTCTCTCGCAAACCGCGCCGCGAGCGGAACTTTGGGGAGCGATTTCCAGCCTCAAGTGGGGAGTTCGGGTGCAAGCCCCTCTGGTCTTGTGGACTGATTCCGACATGGTCGGCCGTGGGCTCCGTGAGCTTCTGGCTGGTTGCGCGTGCCGTGACCGTGACAACGAAGACCTGTGGGATATTCTGTCTGACCTGGTGGAACAGTTTGCTCCCGGCAGTCTGTTGGTACAACACGTCCCATCACATCTGGATCCGGTGCAAAGCATTTCGCCATTCGAAGACTGGGCTATCACTTGGAATGGCCATGCTGATACATTGGCCGGCCTGACCAATCTGAACAGGCCGCTCGCATTCCGGCATGCACATGAAAGGGCTGCTCGGTGGCATGGACATATGCTGGAGGTGATTCGGGCACTTCGAGGCATCTATGTTGGCATCGCAGCTTCCCTCCCTTCTGGGGGGTCCGGGCTTTCTGATCCTGACTCCTATGTCGACGACCCGGAGGTCCCTTTGCCCCCGTGTGGCACTGATCTCAGCGATGTCTTCCTCGACGAGCTGCCTTTAGACTGGAGATACAGAGCGGAGACCTCCTGTCCGGAGCTGCCGCCCACCTTCGTGCAATCACTTTGCGACTTGCTCCTCCGTGAGGTGCAATCTGGTGAGCCCTGGCGATTGGTTTCCTGGCTCGAGTTCGTATTCTTGCTTCACGAGCTGGGGACGCCGAAGTTTCCGGTCCAATCTTTATGCTCCGAACGCTGGCTTGACTCCGCTGAGGTACCCCTCGGTGCACCGCAGTTAACGGTAGCTGTACAGTTGCGGCTGATTCGTAGAGCGCTTCGACGAATTTTTGCAGTCCTGCAGAGGGAAGATGTCTTAGTTGATTCCATCTCTTTGGTGGATTTTGGTATTGCTTTTGGTGTTGGGGGCTTTTCGTTTCCTGTCAGGACTTCGCTCTTGCAGGCTGCGCGCCAAAGACTTTCCCGGTTCTGTGCCGGCCGAAGAATTTGTACAGTCGGCGACTTGGCCAGACTTTGTTGAGACCGTCACGGACAGTCGCTCTCGGCTCCGCTTGCGCTGAGCCAGTGCGTCCCAGCTGTGTGCGCTATCATGTAGAACATTATTACGCCTATAAGGGTTCCCGAAGAGTACAGGGGGGCCTTAATACAACTAAAAGCAAGGCTCTGGTTGGGCTATCATACAGTCAGATTACGAATACGAACCCTAAGCTTCTATGCTAGCACGGAACTCAATAGTTGGGTTTAGGGGCCAGGGCTTAGGTGTCTAGGGTTCCATAAAGTTCAGTGGTTTAGGGTTCAGGGTCTCGAACCTATCATCGCCCCACTCGCATAGGGCACCCTAAACCCTAAACACCCTTAAAAACCCCTAAAGCCTAAATACTCTGCTCGGTTGCGGTTTCGAGTTTCGGTTAATGTTCCAGGACATCTCGGCTCAACAGCTTCGCGGCTTCGAGGTTCAAGGTCTCGAGGGCATGAACAGGCCTTCCAGCTCGAAGGGTTCAGATCATGTTATATTGCGTTGTGATGCACTATCAGCATATAGCAGTCATTACATGGATATTTATATGTGTGTGTATATATATGCACGTATTGTTAAACGGTGTTAAACGTAGGTATATGGAGACGTTTAAAGATTAGCAACTTCTGGTCGAAGGCCCAGGGGTGGTCCTACAGGCTGGGTTCACCTGCGAGAATGTCTCCGCAAAGGCCTGGCCAGAGAACTGGTTTCTTGCTAAGGAATTTAGTTTAAGTTACCATAATGGGGATCTATAGTAAGTAATATGGTTTCATTCTTATGGTATCTTACAACTAAAGCAGAAAACTCTAAGAAGAACCAGAGAAAGGACCCAGACTTGCCCGTGCAGCTTCTTGGAGTGAGAGCAGGTGCCGGGGCTCTGTACCACGCTGCCCTGAAAGCTATGTTTCATAATATAGGGGCCTCAGTAAGTACAATCGGGTATTGGGGCCCATTATGCTATAACTACAATAAGGAACCCCCAAAAAAGTATGAGTGAGTACTAAGGCCCCAGTATGAAGCCCACATCCCCTAAATCCGAGGTGGAAGCACAGAAACCCGTAAACCATACAGCAGCGGCCTGCAACCCAAAGAAGAACTTGAAAACAAAACACACCGTAAGTCCTGAGATGCTAGTTGCGAAATCGCTTAGAGCACTAGAACCCTAACCTACTTAACCTCCAAAACCACCTTGACCCACATCAAGCTCTCAATCCCAATCCCGCAGCCCTACTACATGGCTTCGGGTGCGCCATGTAATATAGGGACCTTACTGTTTAGAATAGGGTTTTGGGGTACGTTACAGTGTAGCTAGTATAGCTATAAAAAGGAACCCCTAAGGACTTCTGGCAGACAGTAGTGCTATAAAACCCTAAACCCAAAACCCTAAAACCCTAAACCCTGAAATCCTAAACCGTAAACCCTAACACCCTAAAACACTAAACCCTATCAAAGGAATAATGTTGGTCATTCTTCAAGCTCTGCCTCGGCACAGAGGGCTTCAATCTCGTCATCCGTGAGCTCAGAGAGACGTCGGATCATCACTTCCTCTTGGGGCCCGGAATTTAGGATTTAATTTAGGGTTTGGGGTTTAGGGCTTTGGGAGTTTAGGATTTAATTTAGGGTTTAGGGTTTAGGGTAGGGGGTTTCGGGGTTACTGTACGGGTTGCATTATGGGTTACTATATGAATTCCATAAGATTCCATAAGGGTCTATGAATTGAGGGTGTAGGATTTTAGAATTCGGGGTTCAGGACTTTGGGGCATCAGGGTTATGAGCAGCTTAGGATTTTTGGGATGACGTGGGCTCTAGGCTTACATGCGCCTCAAGGCTTGCACTTACGCGGCGTGTTTCGTCATATATCCCCAGCTCCCGAAAATGCATCAGAACCCTACCTATAGTCTCCATTGTAGTTCCTTTTTTTGGTTAACCAGTTTTATGGTTAGGATCCTATAATAGAGATTTTGGTTAACCAAAAAAGGAACTACAATGGATACTATAGGTACATTTGACTGACCCGGGCCTGCTCGTAGCGTGTCAGTTGCTGAGCATAGGTCGTCTGCTTGTTTTCGACTCGCCAAAGGTACCTGGACAGGTTGCCATGTGCGTCGCTGGAACCACACAAGGCTTGACTATTCAATTTTTCGGATGCTCACAGCAGTTCTATGCTTTCAGACCCTGACAATTCGAAAGAAGAGATGGATCCTTGCGCCGTGAACCCCTCAAGGCTTGAGGGATCCGCTTCCTAAACCCTAAACTCCAAACCCGTCGTCCTTTAAGATATCGTAGGATATAACAAACCCTTAGATGTACTTAAGCACAAAATTGAACCCTGAAAGAAATAAACTACGACATCGAGCAACCATCCTTGAGGCTCGAGCCCCGACACCTCTCAGGCTCCATGTTGGGGGTTAATGTATATGGGGGACTCCGAAAATTAGGGGGACCGTATTTTGGAGTCCTTATAATAAGAATCCTACTATGTAGGGTACTATATTAGGGTCCCCTATTTTCGGAAGCCCCCATATCCCCAAGGGTCCAAAGGACCCAGTAATTAGGTACTCGGTTGTAGGGATAGTAGTTATGTAGGTTACTCTTTTGGAGAGTATATGATACTTAGGTACTCGGTTTTAGGGTAGTAGTTATGTAGGTTACTATACTAGTTTGGAGGGTATATGATAATACGGTACTTGGACCCTTAGGGTATACTGCGTAGGCACATGGAGCCTTAGGGAACCCGGGGCCACAAAAGCCCTCAACTCTTTTGCACTCTCCGACGCGCAGAAACGGGGGCAAAGCCGGCGCTTCGGAAGCGGGGAGGGGGGCTCTTCGGGTGCCTGTTGTAGGGTTTAGGGTTGAGGAGTAACTAGAGAAGGGGCAAGTATGACGGCCTGATGATTTTGCAGGATTCATGGTATAGGGGCGCTAACAATTTGAACAGGAATAAGAGGTATCGCGTAAACACATGTAATTATGGGGCCTTTTACTGAGACAGTAGTACTGGGTGGTTGTCGAAATTGTGGTCCCTTTTTGGGTACCCTAAATATTCGGTCCCATACTATATTAGGGACCCCAAAACCGGACCATAATTTTGACAACCACCCAATTTTTTTCAAGCTTCTACACTACAGATCCCCCCCACCAGCTGCTCAGCTTTCAGCTGCAATCCGCAAGCAAAGCGTCCTCGCCGAACCACTGCCTTCAGGCGTCATGGTTTAGGGTTTAGGGGTTAGGGGTTTAGGGGTTTAGGGGTTCGGGGGTTTAGGGTTTAGGGGTTTAGGGTCTACATGGGGCTAGGGCTTCGGGGATTTGAGTTTGATGTTGCAGTGCATGTTGGGAGCCCCCAAAACATTTTGCGACATCCTGAATCAGCAGTATGGAAGCAGTACCGTAGTAGCACAGTAGCAACACCTTGTAATGCAAAACACCCTTGTAGCACAGTTGCAATAAGGTCGTGGCAGATGCAGCAGGGTGGTAATACGGTGTACAGTAGCAGTACAGTTCTAGACTAGTACCAACAGTACAGCATCACTTTTGTTTACGAATTCACGGCACGTTGAAAAGGGCTTTGACTTTTTGGGCTTTGTTTAAGGGGACTTGGATATGTTCAGCCAGAGACCGGTTAGCATGCCTGAAAACGGCTCCAAAACGCTTCAAAACCGAGCCCGACGCCTCTGAACATGAAACCTCTCAGCTCAAGCTTCAGTTCATCCTCTCCCTGGTTAGAGTTGACAGTTGCAACACATGAAACCCCAACATTCTTAAACAAAAAGCAGCCGAACATATTCGTGTCCTCGGGGCTAATCGGGCATACGGCTTTGGGTTTCTATGGCTTTTTGCCTTGAGGTTTAGGGCTTAAGGCTCTCAGGGTTTGAGGTTGTAGAGAAAAATGAACCTTGACGCCCCGCGCCACCAAACCGAATGAACCCATACGAGTGAAGCCCAGCTGTGCCCGAAGCCAAAGCCCCTAACTGCTTGCTACAGGTACCCCGCCTTTCCTTTACAAACTATTGGTATTGCATGAGCTTTGGAACGAGGTGTGCTGTCAGGATGCCAGGGCTAACAGGGCCTACAAACAAGCAGTTACCATATCAGAGGATCTTCAACAGAACGGAGGCACCTGCTGATGAGCTGGTTCTGGGTGGTGAACATGATAGCCTGAGCATCACCACGAGCCAAAGCTAAGCTAAAAGTCTGGTGAGTGACGTCATGGAGTTTCAATAGAGGCCTCAGAAAGGACATGAGCATAAGCGTCTTGCAAGGATATCCCTACCTTGCTGGGCCTCGTTACTATCCTATGTTTTGCTTATGTGCTTCTTTGGGGCCCTATTCAATGCATCTCACGCAGCAAGATTGATGTTGCTTGGGTTGCTGGTGGTGCCTGCCGATGCTCGAATCGAATGCACAGCAAATAATCCTGGAGCCTTAAACCCAGGAACTGAAGATCCAAATTCGAACCCGCCTTCCAAACCCTGAACTCTACGCCCATTTCAGTCACGGCTCTGCCTTCGTTTCTGACGAAAACTATGTCTACACAGTGCTGCTAATGACGACGACTGTCCATCGGCGCTCCGCAGAGGCTTCAAGACTTGTGCAGGTTTCAGGCCGCAAGTGGTCCTTCCACTCGGCACGGTCCACACGGATCCCGAAGTAGCAGTGAGAGTGCAGAACTTCAGCGGTGTTGGTAAGGAAAAGAGCAGGTAGAACAACTAGCATGAAACCCTACGCTGAGGCTAATCTCGTTAAATCGTTAAACGCATAAGGGCCCTTAGCCCTAAGGCTCCACATACCCATATAGTATATACATTGACCCCAACGTACCTATATAGTATACTATGAGAGTGCAGAACTTCAGCGGTGTTGGTAAGGAAAAGAGCAGGTAGAACAACTAGCATGAAACCCTACGCTGAGGCTAATCTCGTTAAATCGTTAAACGCATAAGGGCCCTTAGCCCTAAGGCTCCACATACCCATATAGTATATACATTGACCCCAACGTACCTATATAGTATACTATGAGAGTGCAGAACTTCAGCGGTGTTGGTAAGGAAAAGAGCAGGTAGAACAACTAGCATGAAACCCTACGCTGAGGCTAATCTCGTTAAATCGTTAAACGCATAAGGGCCCTTAGCCCTAAGGCTCCACATACCCATATAGTATATACATTGACCCCAAAGTACCTATATAGGGACCTCTTTATTTAAGGCCTCCGTATATGCAACACGGATACATTCACCCTGATGTAGGGTAGAACCTCTCAGTGCCAAGTAACGCTGTGGGGCGCCACCTTCAACAGCTCGGGCATCAAGCCGCGGAAAAACTCCCGGAAGCCTTCCGAAAAGGCATTGTCGAGCTTTAGGGTTTAGGGTTATGAGCGATAAGCACCTGCTAACATAAACCTCTCTATAGACTGAAGAAGGTTTCAACGGTTCATGTTCGTGAGCTTCTTTGGACCCCCAACTGTCAGGATTGTCTTAACCCCCGAAGGCACCCCTCGCACGGCACTCATGATGCTCCTTCATGAAGGAGGTGGAGAATTCAGTTACTATGAGGGCCTCAATAAAGACTAGGGTTTTGCGGCCTACTACTTTTCAACTGTAGCAATAAGGGTCCCTCGGAATGATGTTGCTAATTTAATCATTTAGAACGCTTTGTTAGGCTTGATTTGGGACCTGACTCGGTAGATGCACGCTTTGGCCAGGCTTGTGATAAAGGGGGCTTAATTTAGTTTGCTTGGAGTTTTGGCGGCTCTTACCATTATGAATATATATATATATACATATATATATACATATACATATACGGTATATACCCTAAACCCCGAGAAACCATATGTATATATATAGATATAGATATAGATATAGATATAGATAGTATATGTAAACCCTAAACCCTAAGAAGCCCCCCAAACCCTACTCTTTGCCGCCCTCACGCCGTCCCCAATCCCTCCAGACCTAGCAGCCAGGAGACGCCACCTTCACAGAGGGAGGGCTTTCAAAGCGGGCTCAAAGGGGGTCTGAGGGGGCCTTTAAGGGGGCTTGATTGGGGCTTTTAGGGGGCTTTCAAGGGGCTGGGAAGGTTCGGGGGAATAGACAAGCCATCTTGGGATAAGGTTCTGGGATACACTATATTCAACACATACATACTATACATACCTTACATGTGTGTATAAATGTGTATATATATATATTATATATATATATATATATAAACACACATGTGTAGTGTACGGTTTGGAACATTGTACATTTGTAAGGAACAAGAGTGTTTACCACTGTAGCAGCGGAGGAAATATCACCCTGGCCGGCAGTGAGGGGCAAAGAAGTGGAAGCCGCAAGTCCTGCGCCATGTGCCCACCTTCTTGCCGATGGAAACCAGTCATGAAGATCATGCGAACCGCCTGGCTGCTTCGCGAAGCAGAGCGGGTGCATAAGGGGGGGTGGGGGGGGGGCGCTCGAACATGCTCAAACGGTGCTGTCGCGGAGTTCATGTCAGTCTGACTGCAGATGTCAGTCTCAAGGCACGAAAGACTGAGGCTGTTGCGCACCCCGCCTGTAGCGATGAGGACGGCCACAACAGAAAAGCAACGGCGAGAATCACGTCTAATGTAGTTGGTCAACACGCCGTTTGCATAAGGGGGCAACCTGGAGCGATAATCCAAGCCCACAATATTCAAAACAAGTATAGTACAAACCGAGAAAATCGTAAAAAACGTTAAGGGATCGAATACAATTATTCCCACCAAACCCTCCCACAACAACCGTGGTGCGCCTGCCACACGTTCGTGTAGACAAGTGGGCGCCCTCCGACACCTGCATAGCATGCTAATATAAAGTTAGAATAGGGTTTTGTTGGGGGTCTTGAATACCACCCAAAACCCTATTCCAATTTTTGAGGCCCCTATTTTAGCATGCTAGAAGGGCTCTATGGCTTTGAAGACTAAGGGACCCATGTCCCTGCGAGAATTGTATGAATCACTACAAGATAACCCCCATAACCCGTAAACCAGAACCTCTGAGAGGGCTTGAGGGGTTTAGGGGCTTAGGGCTTTAGGGCTTTAGGGGTTTAGGGTTTTGGATCTTAGGATCTTAAAATTGTCCATAAGGGATCTGTGAGGCTCCCCATGAGGGATCTTAAGGCTAAGGCAGCGATCCTACGGGTTGAAGGTTCACAGAAATCACACCTTTTGCAACATGGGGCAGGGGCCGGCTTGGAACCGGTCGCTTACCGCGCATGCCACCCCTCAGCACCAAATCTGAAACTGATTTCAATGAACCTGGCCTCATCAAGCCTCTTCAACCCTACAGAACCCTCAACCGTCTTGCAACGTAACTAAACCCGAACTGCCATACGCTCAAAACCCCAAACCTTCCAGAGAAACATAGATCTCCTGTGCTCACGGACCCTTAAACCATAACCGTAAAACCCCAAACCCTAACCCTAAAACCCCAAACCCTAACCCTCAACCATAGACGGTTGAAGATATACCTGCTAAGCCCGCGGCCAACCATCTGCATCTGCCTCCTCAGGAGATCCTTTGAGCTAAGCTCTCGAGCTGCCAGGGATGCTCATACTATGGGATACGCATAGGGTTTAGGGCTTATACGTTTCAAAAGGTTTAGGGACTTATACCTATGGGTACTTGGAGGGCTTAGGGGGCTTATAGGTTTTAGGGGTTTAGGGGTTTGTGCTATGGGTACTTGTAAGGTTGAGGGCTTAGGGTTTTAATGTTTAGGGCCTTTATGTTACGTGTGGGTACTGATAGGGCTTAGGGTTTAAAGGGGTTTTAAGGTTTAGGGTTTCCTATTATGGGACTATTGTACGAGGATACAAGGCTCGATAAAGCTGTTTAGCTAGGGCTTAGGGTCTGAGCCTTTCTGGGTGGTTTCGGATTTGGCGGGCTCTTGCAGATTAGGGCTTCGGGTGTTAATGCGTTTCGTGATTAGGGGCGGTTGTGCAGTTTGGGGATTTAGGGTTCGTCTCCCCGGCAAACAGCTATGACATGCGCCAGAGTTGAATTATTAAGTGACGACGCTTCATTCCCAGCAGCGGCACTGGACCTCAAGTGCCGTTTCTCTTTATGCAGGCAAGTCTCGGCCGGGAACATGATCGTAGATGCCGTTATTCCTGGCCACGAGCAGTGGAAGCAAAAGCAAGGTGAATAGAACTATATACCGTTATTACTACGATTTTTACTAGCTTTACAACTGTTATTAGGATATTTATGCTTCAACCGACCCAAACCCTTTCTGCTACCAAAGTACGTAACATTGTCGCAGTAGTGCGTGTGGTGCAACAAGACCCGGGGGTCCATGTACCCAAATAGCAAGTGCTTTGGTCCCAAAGTATTTAAATAGGGACCAGCTCAAGGCCAACGTACATACTTTATGAGCACATGGTCCCTTAGGGGACACTATGTTCTTTAGTGGCGTCTGTGCGTTGCTGGTCTCTTCCCTTTCCAAACGCACCAGAAGAGCCACATTCTGAGCATGGTTCGTGTGCTTTGGGGTCCAGGGCTCTATATAAGGGGTCCGATGGCTCTAAGGGAGCCTTATAATGGTCCTGGGCAGATTCTATGAAAGTATCGCAGGCCTGGGGTGCTTGGTTGAATGTCAGGGCTTCTGGGGTGTAAGGCCTCTAGGTTTGGGGGATTTGCGTGGTGATGTAGGAGCTGATGGGGCTTTCCGACCCATAGCTTGGAGTTACATTGCACTGCAGAGAATCGAAGGCCAATTGAAGGGCTTTTTGAGCGGAGGTGCACAATTCGGAGACAGCGAACACTCTTCCGCTAGGTCCCATTTCGGCAACCGGATCTCAGCTTGCCAGGGACTTCTTACCATCATCATGGCTAATGATATTGCTGCGTCTTGCTATCATTAATATAAGCCACAATCCCTTACTGCTATAACAAGCACTTCTCTTCTGCCTGTTCGTAGTAGTGCTAGCAGTGTTCCTGTCATTACTGCAGGCCCCGAGCCTCCGTGCGGTTATGCAGTTCAAGAGCACCTTGATGGCAATAGCATCAGAATACGAGCAATACAGTGAAGAGGAACAAATCGTTTTACTACGGACCTTGGAAGCGGTGTATGCTGCTGTGCCCTGATCAACAAACCGATTGATATCATAAGGGTCCTTAATGGCTTTAACATGCTTTGGGGCCGCTTGTAGTATAATTATACTATAAGGGTACCCCCCCCCCAGAAAGGTAGAGGTAATTATTGAGGCCCCTGTACTACGCGCCTGCACAGGCGCCGGCAAGGAAGGTGTGCACATATGAGTCAGGCCTTTCAGCCGTCAGATTTTGGGCTTTAGGGTTCAGGCGACGAGGGCCGTGCGAGAAAAGACAGCTGAAGGCAAGGACGGCAACTGCTAGCTGGCCGAGGACGGCAAAGACTGCGGTGAGCCTCACACCTGCTTCTGCGACTGCTGCCTTTCCAATACTGCTAGCATTGCTGATGTCCATGCTTCTCATACCGTCTTGTGCTCTCTACTACTGGAGGTATTGCTGAATGCTCTGGGCACCTGCGACATCCGACACCCTGAAGCCCAAAGCTTGCTGGTCTGGTAATGTAGGAACCTGATTTCGATACCCTGGGCCTTTTTACTAGGGTCGCTTATATGAATCCTGCTATTTTGGGGTTGGAGGCCCAGGGGTTTCTTAATCAGACTCCTGCCGTAAATCCTAAACCCTATAGATCCCTTTCAAGGAGCCCTCTAAACCCCTATGGATCCCCTTTAAAGGACCCTAAACCCCTATAATCCTAAACCCTCTCCCCCACTAAACTGAACCCCTGGGATGAAGCTGCCACCGAAAATCACGAGGACTCTGAAATCTCAACCCATATATGGGGGCCTTGATAGTTAGAATAGGGTTCCTTTAAAGGGATCCTTAAACGGGTTACTAGTAAGATAGGGGCCTCAACAATTAGAATAGGGTTTGGGGCATATTAAACCATAATTACAAAAAGGGACCCCCAAAACAGGATGGGTAATTCTTAAGGCCCTATAGTATTCTCACCGTCATCCGCCGCCAACATAGGGCCCCCGAAAGAAGGCCCACACTCCTTCTAACAAGGACAAGTCTTCTGGATTTCAAGCGGCATGCTACACTGCTTGAACGAGAACTTCAGCCGAAGGGGGCCCTGAGATTGTAGAACCCTCTAGAACCCTGAACAGTCGGGTCCTTACTAGATCATGAAGCACTCTTAGGCTAGGGTTTAGAGTTCAGGTGTCCGGGTTCTTCAACCCTGGGCTCGTCACAACTCCTACCTACAACCCCAACATCCATAAACTTATCGCAGCCCTAAGCCCCTCCTCAGCCCTATACATGTACACCCAAAGCCCCAACGACTCCATCTCCCACAATCTTAAACCGAAAACTGACCCTGAACTCCTAAACCTTCCAGCAATCGCAACCATAAGCCCCTAAACACTCGCAGAATCCCGACGGAAGCGGAATAGTAGCTCTTGTAGCTTACAGACTTATATGCCTCAAGCCCCTACTTGGAGGGTCGGGGGACTTAGTAACTGGTTATTTTCGGGACTTATAAGTACGTAACCCCATTAGGGCCCCTTTTGGGGTACTTATAAGTCTACTTACTAACTACTTACTAAGTCCCCCGACCCCCCAAGTAAACTCAACACGGGGACCCGGACCTAATGCCCAGCTTCGCGAAAAGCCATTTGAACTCGTCGAAGGCCGTGAAATTAATTGCCTAAGGTCCCAAACTGCCAACACATGAAAGTCTGGGCTTGGTTGGGGTTTGGGAGCGGTTTCTGAGATTTTAGGGTCATGGTTTAGGTTTAGATTAGAGGTTCGGCTTTTGGATTTAAGAGGTTGGGAAAGATCCAACTAAATCGCCTGATTGTGGCATCCATGTTGAGCCCTGACGCAAACCATGGGGGCAGTTCACCGTTCTCTAGTTGAAGGCTGTTTGTTGGAGTTGCTGGTTAGGCTTGAGTCTATTTTGTTGGACTAAAAATGCAGATGCACACCAGATGATGCGCAATGCGGGAAGCCTTTGGGCCTCGAGGTTTAGGGTTTGAGACCTGAGGATCTAGGGCTCGGGCTCTGGGATTCTAGGGCCGGGCAGTCCGCTTGAAGTTGCAAGGCTAGGCTAGGTTTTTTTGAAGTGCTAGGGGTTTAGGGTTTGGGGTTTAGGGGTTAGCGGTTTAGGGCGTGTGGGAAGGGCTCTTGAATACGAGCCACCTGAAAAGAAACCGGCTTGAATGCGAAAGCACTCAGCTCAGTTATGAGAGCTCGTGCCCACCCCAGGATTGTCAATCAGCATATGGCTGGGTAGCACAGAAACAGCATGCACTGCTTGTTGTGGCTTCCACGGGAAGATGATGATGCTGTAAAGGGAAAGGCTTCATAGCTGTGTGCTTTTCGTTCTTAACTTTACCTACGAGAAACCTGGAATGCAATTCAGGCAATATCTATAGTCTCCATTGTAACTTTTTTGGTTAACCAGTTTTATGGCGGTTAGAAGCCTATCATACAGCAAATAAAGGAACTACCATGGAGACCATAAGTAATATAGCTGCCTTAATAATTAGAATAGGGTTTTGGGGCCCATTCTGCTATAACTATATTAGGGAACCCTCAAAATAATATTAGTATTTATTTAGGCCCCTAAAGTAGGTAACCCCAAATTACCCCTGAGATCCCCTGAGTGCGAGTCCGGGGAAGACTCAACGCCGCCACCATGACAGCTGAAATCCCAGGTACGGCATCAAAGCACAGCCCTAAGGCCCCATAGTAGTTCCTTTTTGTGTGGGACTACTTTGGGGCCTATAGGTAAATCCCAAAGCCGAAAAAACATCAAAGCTAAGAGATGAAGTCTCCAGCCAACACTGGAACTCGAAGGTAGTGCTGTAATTCACCTCGTAAGAACACCGGCCCGGCTGCTATGGATGGGCAGGTGCACCATAAGGAAACCCCGATGCCACGGTAGAAGCCTTGGGCGGTCTAGGATGTGGGTATACGTGGGTCCACCGGCAGAGATCAGGAAATTGTGGTGGGCCGTTCTGTGACGGGGCCATTACGACCCAGCAGCCGCAGCTGCAATGTGTAGTACCGAGGATCCGCAGTGAGAAACTGAGACCCTCAAGGGTTGCATGGCCGTTCGGTTATCATTCAGTTGTGGTATATATATATATAACATACAGTCTAACGTACTATAGTACACCATAATATGCGATGATATACTCCAATGTCACAGAATAATCCAGCTGGGGCACCCTGTAAGAACTACGAACTTCTCGTAATGTCGTAACGTCTGTTCTCACAACGCATGGGCATCGAGCTGTTCTGCGATTCGCTAAGCTGGCACTGCAGCTCCACCTACCGAAGACAGGTTCCTTGCCCTTGAACCGTGAACCATGTTCTGAGCCCAGGGCCTGGGTGCTTGATGAATGCTGCTATGATCATCACTGCTACCGTAGTGCAGCTGTGGTTCAGACTTCGAAGGAGATTACCATGGTTGCTGCCTCCTTCGCACTGTGTGCTTGAAGTGGTCAAAGACTTGCATGCCTGTGATATCCATGGTCACCGATATTGACATGTACACTTTGAATGCGCAATATGTCATTATGCTGCTGGCGTGTCTACAGTAACTCCCAAAAAAGCCAAATCCTCGCTCGATGCAGCTTGGTGACCTCGGGGACCTTCATCACGAAGTATCTTCCAGGCGGCGTCGCGCACGCCGCCGTAGTATTTCTTGCGCCTGGTCTGTGGCGGGAGCCAGGTGGGGGCATTCCAGTGTCGGGTCCTTTATAATTCGTATTATACTTTCTCGTCTTCTGGTACATTGAATCTAGTACTACATTGTAGCTATACTTCTAGTATTCTTAACCCTAGGCATCTAAGGACTCATATATTACGGCTTTTGGGCCCAAAGACCATACTATATAAGGCTTTTGGGCTATTTTGATGCATAGGGTAAGAGATGAACCTAGTACTATACTGTAGCTAAACTTCTTTGTATTGTTAAAAGATGAACCTGGCACTATATTGTAGCTATACTTCGAGTATTCTGAAAAGATGAATCTAGTACTATATTGTAGCGATATAATACAAAAATGCTACTAAAGTAGTGTGTTTCGCAGACTTTCGGCCGGCTGCACCTCCGCTCAGAGCGGTGCTTGGAGGAGCCGTTTCTTCAAATTAAGTTTTATAGAGTATTAGGGTAATTATTCGGGTCTTAGGGTATTAGGGTATTATTAGAGTATTAGGGTATGAGGGTATTATTAATTAAGGTATTAGGGTGTTCTTAGGGTATATGCGTGTCAACTGCTTTTAAGACTTAGTACCCATAGGCCCCAAAGTAGTTCCCTTCTTGGGATTACCTTATAGGATTCTAGATATGAACCACAAAAAGGAGCTACTATGGGGCATCAGGGCATCTAGAGGCACGGATCTCGCATCCGGGTCATTTGCCGCCAGGCAGCGTTTGTGCCATCAGCCGAGTTTTGATGACGTCCAGCGGGTGCAGCGTGGAAACCTAGCATAGCATTTTCTGAGTTCGACGGCTCATGTTGACCCTGGACTCACTGTCATCGCTGACAAGCGTCTGCGAGTCGTGAGCCCTGTGTCGTGCACTCGTTCCCACTTCAATTGATGCTGCGAGCTGCGTGATGCTGCATGTGCGTTAGCGTTGTATCCAGTTTCAGAGCTTCCTCCCAGTATGCGTTTGCCTCCTCGCTTCAAGTCACAAGTCATACACTCCTGCAGCGGAAACGGAGAGAAATGCAAAAGCACGGAGGGAGCACCAGCAATGGACTCTGCGCAAACCGAGATCAGAGGTGCCAAACATCTGAGCTGTGCTTCTGCTTATGGGCATCCAAGCAGAGTCATCGCTGCAAATGTCAAGGGCCTCCCACATCGCCAACATCTCAGGGTGAGGATGAGCACATTCTCAGAATCCGGACCCCGGCGCGCACTTTAGCCCATGCGTCTCGCCGGCATGTGCCTCTGCCTTCCAGCAGGAGGTCGGCACCACGACCCTGCGTTGAGCAGAGGAACTGTCTTACTGTCGGGCAGGTCCCTCTGATTGGGTGAAGCTTCTTTCTGTCACAACGGCAACATCCACGCATAGAACCACAAATGTCTCGACCCGGTACACAGGTCTTGTCAAACATCCGCAAGACAGAAAATCAACATGCAAGCATAACACCTTTTACTAGCTTTCCCAAAGCTTGTTCCGACATGCGTGGAACTTGTAGAGCGACAGATGGCCTCCCATATCACCAATTCTCAAGGTGAGAGATGTCTTGCACATCCCCCGGGTCCCGACCCCGGCGAGCACTTTAGCCCATGCGTCTCGCCGTCATATGCCTCTGCCCTCCAAGCACGTTGGCCGGGAGGTCGGGACCACGACCCTGTGGTGTGCCCCACACCCGGCCAGCGGTGTGAGCAGAGGAACTGTATTACCGTCGGGCAAGTGCCTCTGCTTTGGTAGGGCTTCTTTGTGTCACAACATCAACATCCATGCATGGAAACACAAATGTCTCGACCCCTTATCATGCAGGTTCGATCAAGCATCCGCAAGACAGGAAGTCAACATCCAAGCATAACACGTTTCACTTACAGCTTTCTCAAAGCTTGTTCCGACATGTGTGGAACTTGTAGGGCGATAGATGGCCTCCCATATCACCAACATCTCAGGGTAGGGATGATCACATCCTCAGGATCCCGACCCCGGCGAGCACTTTAGCCCATGCGTCTCGCCGTCATGTGCCTCTGCCCTACAGGCACGTTGGCCGGGAGGTCGGGACCACGACCCTGTGGTGCCCCACACCCGGCCAGCAGTGTGAGCAGAGGCTCTGTAGGGCAAGGCGCCTCTGCTTTGGTAGGGCTACCTGCCAAGTTGTCGCTGTCACAGCGGCAACTTCTGCGAACTGCTCATCAGACAGGAGTTTAACATGTACCTGCAAGACATGACAACAACATCTAAGCATGCAATGGTGGAATATGTTACGTACTAGCTTTACACAGATTTTGCTCGCTTGTTGCAGCTTGGTGTGGGTAGCCTTCCAGTACATGCATATGCACTAAGTGCATCCTAAAACCAGTAATTAGGTCTCAATCAAAGCCAGACTCAGCCCTCATCTGCAGTGCACTGCCACGCAGCCGCCGCACCGGCGGCGCAGCCCCCGGCGAGGAGGTGTCGAGTCTGAGTCAGAAGGAAAGTCATCTACTTCCCTCTGGGAAGTCATCTGTATACAAGGACAAATATTATAGAGGTAGAAAGATAGGTAGCTAGATGACTAGCTAGCCAGGTATCTACGTAGGTGGATCGAGAGAGAGAGAGAGAGAGAGGAGAGAGAGCCAGAGAGAGAGAGGGACAGAGAGAGCGAGAGAAAGAGAGAGATGAAGGAGAGACGGAGGCGGATAAATACGTATAATCTTAAAGAGTAAACACATAAGTCCATACATATATATATATATATAGATAGGTCTGTATACTTGTGTATATATATATACATATACGTATACATACATACATACATACATACATACATACATACACACATACATACATACAGATAGGCAGACAGACAGATAGATGGATGGACCGGTGAGTGGCTGGGTGGGTTGGTGGTGCGTGGGGGTGGGGGCGAGTAGATGAGTTGGTGAGCAACTAGATCAGTGACAGTCACATTAGCAACAATCACACCCGATACACGGTGTATGTGTCCGTATGTACGTATGTATGCATGCATGTATGTGTGTATGTATGTATGTGTAAGAGAGATGCATATACAGATAGACTTGGGCAAAGGTTTAGCAAGGTCTAAGGTGCCGAATTGGTTGCTTCTGCTTGTCCGCCCTTCCCACTTGGAGGGTCTTAGTAACTGGTTATTTTAAGGATACCATAACCCCAATTAGGGTCCCTTTTAGGGTACTTACAAGTCTACTTACTAGCTACTTACTAAGTCCCTGAACCCTAAACCCTAAACCCTATACTACCCTTATAGAGCCCTTTAAAGGAGCCCTTAGAATCCCCTTTAAAGGAGTAAAGACCCCCCAAGCATGGCCTGGTCAGCGAGTCCCGAGCCGAAGGTACTCCGACGGAGCCGCTCCCGAACAAGGGCCTAGCGGATCCCTCAGGTTCCTTTAAAGGGCTCTATAGGGGGTACCTTCAAGGGGCTCCTTTAAGGGATCTTTTGGATTTTAGGGTTTAGGGTTTAGGGATATAAATCCTGCATTACCCAAAATAAGGAACATGTGGGAATTATAGTATATTCCTTATTCTGGGTCATGCAGGATTTATATCATCAACAGTAGTATTGGGGCCTTAGTCATTAGAATAGGGTTTCTGTAAAGGGGTCTATAAGGGGTCTATAAGGGTACTATCATGTAGGGGCCTTTATAATTAGAATAGGGTTTTAGGGTATTTCAGACTGTAACTATAATAAGGAACACCCCAAGACGAATAGCACAGATAATTATTAAGACCCTATATTACAGAACTTCAGGGGCTAGAACAGGCCCTAGACCGTTCAAGGGCTTGGGTTCAGGGGTTCTGAAGATGTTGCACGAACGAATCAAAACTTCGGGAACACGCGCGGTGCTACTATGAGCTGTTGCCATTAGCATAGTAGCTCTCACAAATGACGCTAATGCTTGTTGTTTCTATGGCTTGCCACTGTCAGCATACTTCTATGTTCATGATATGCGTAGACCCTAAACCGTTGAACAAAAAACTATTGCCAGCTTTGCTATTGGTTGTACATTGCTAATTCTTTGAACAGCGCAGGCTGCAGTCAGGCTCGGATGCCGGAGGGCCGAGATCAAATCGGTTAAGAGGTAAGAGTTTAGGGTTCAAGAGTTTCAGTCCGAGCTTGCGGCTTTCATTTCCGACATTCCGGTCTTAATGGGTCAGGATTTCAGGGTTTCGGCTTCAGGCGTTTATGATTCTAGCATCTGACTAGAGTTTCAGGATTTCAGCGTTTAGGACTGGCCTGTCCACACATACATATATACATACATACATACATACACATAAAGAGACTGATGCGACCAAGCCAGACCAAACTCCCAGCAAGGCCCGGGCGTTGGTGTAGAAAGTGATCTTAGTCGGCATGACTTCGGAGCTCACGATTCCGGGTTTCATGGTGTAGTATGAGGGCTCACATAAAGGCCCCATGCAGGATTCTAGGGGTTTAGGATTGAGTGCTTCAGAGATCTTCAGCTAGGTGTAGGGTTACGAAGGGTACTGTAGGAGTTCAACACTTTGGAGAATGAGGCATTGCGGCCCAACCCCTAACCCTAAACCCTAAAACCCTGAACCCTAAAACCCTAAAACCCCAAACCCTGAAACCCTAAAGCCCTAAACCCCAAAGCCTGAACCTAAACCCGAGACCCTAAAACCTGAACCCTAAACCCTACACCTAAAGCCGTAAACCCTGAACCCTAAACTCTAACCCTCAAGCGTTCTGACTTCGGCCCTTGAGATGCATTTTTGGCCGTCTGATAAGATATACTTGCAGCTCCCAAACCCTCAGCCCTAAGTATGTCTACCTATAGTCTCCATTGTAGTTCCTTTTTTGGTTAACCAAAAACTAGATTATGGGACACTAACCATAAAACTGGTTATCCAAGAAGAGGAACTACCCTGGAGACTATAGGTAACATCAACACCGAGATCTCCCCCCAAACAAAAAACACCTTACGATTACGGGTGCTATTGAAATACTTAGGAAAAACGGGTTCAGGCAACTACCCTATTCCTTCTTGGGGTTAGTTTAGAGGATTCTAAACATGCACCCCAAACCCTAACACCTAAACCCTAAACGCTAAAACCCTGAACCCTAAACCCTAACACCCTAGGGTACTCAGGAACCTAGTTCTTCGCAAGCACGAAAAGACCCGGAGTTTATGGATTAAGGACCTGATCCCAAGTACACCAGGACCTTTTGGAAGATCTCGGTTACCGATAGGATCGGGATGCTACCGAGTTCTTAGGGTTTAGGGTTTAAGGTTTCCGGTTCAGGGCTTAGGGTTTGAGTTTAAGGATTAAGGTTTAGGATTTAGGGTTTAAGGTTTAGGGTTTAGGGTTTAAGGTTTAAGGTTTAGAGTTCAGGGCAGCTCTTTTTGGGGCCGTTTGGCTTTGACTAGGCTCCTATGCAGCCCCCTTCCTTTATAAGAAGGGCACCCTCTTTTTCCTAATAGCCCGGAGTAAAAATGGCAAAAGGGTACTACTCTGGAACCGAGTTGAGTCTCTTTGCGGCTTTTCGGGTGTAGGGTGATTTCGGCATTCAGGGCTTCGGGTGCAGGGCTTTCAGGGCTTTAGGATGGTGTTCAGAGTTTGTGGTGCATCCTTGCTGTTGGCAGGTTTAGGACGTGGACCACCTGGGTTGCGAGGATTCAGGTGGCCCAAGACCTTAACCTCTACAGTAGAACAGGTAGATTATACTACAACTATAATTATAAGGAACCCCCAGAATAGTGTTGGTA